CGAGAGTTTGTCGCTGATTTCTTTTTCTTATTTTCAACAGTTTCGGAATGTTTGCACCATGAGTAAGAATCCAACACAAAAATTGTGTTTACTCCAAAAGAAATCTTTCACAGTTCTTTTCTATAAACCATTCTTCATTTATTAGCAAAACACAGAATCCTAATTTCCACTCCTGTCAAGATTAATTAGAACATTATTATTATGCTTTATGTACATGTTTTGTTTATTAGATCGATAGATAGATAGATAGATAGATATGAATATAATTTTATATATATATATATATATATATATATATATATATATATATATATATATATATATATATATATATATATTTGGATAGATAAATATGAATAGGCTGACGTATGTTTTTATGTACATATTTTGGTTATTAGATAGATAGATAGATAGATAGATAGATAGATAGATAGATAGATAGATAGATAGATAGAGATATGAATAATCTTTCATAGATAGATAGATAGATATGAATAAACTGAGATAACTACAATATATGAATATATATATATATATATATATATATATATATATATATATATATATATATATATATATATATATATATAGATATATAGATAGATAGATAGATAGATAGATAGATAGATAGATAGATGTAAATAAACTGCGACAGATATATATGAATAAACGGAAATAGATAAATAGATAGATAGATATATAGATAGATATGAATAAACTGAAATAGATAGATAGATAGATAGATAGATAGATAGATAGATAGATAGGCCAGCGTCTTGTGTAGTTTTCAGCAAGTTAGTGTTCGTAAATTGTTACGACCAGTGAAGTTGATCATTTGAGCCACTCAACCAGACAAAAGCCGTCTTTAAGTCGACATAATTCTGCTTAATTGTGCGAATATGATTATCTACTTTGTTTCTCTTCACCTTTGTGTCTGCTTTGTTGTTTACATTGAAATGAACATAATTTTCTCTCCTTACCAACATATATAGTACATTAAATCACAATAAGAATTCAAAACACTCTTCAGAATGACTACTCGTACGTAAGAATAATATTGGATGAATAAGAGGTGGGGGTGAAAAAAGAAAGAAAGGAAAGAAAAAAAGAAAATCAAATACATGAGAGAAATATTGAAAAATGTGTGAAAGAAAAAAAAAAAAGAGAAAAAGAAAATCAAATACGTGAGAGAGAAAGAATAATATTGGATGAATAAGAGGTGGGGGTGAAAAGAAAGGAAGGAAGAAAGAAAGAATATGAAATGTGTGAAAGAGAAAAAAGAAAATCAAATACATGAGAGAGAAAGAATAATATTGGATGAATAAGAGGTGGGGGTGAAAAGAAAAGGAAGAAAAAAGAAAATCAAAATCAAATACATGAGAGAGAAAGAATGAGGTGGGGGTGAAAAGAAAGGAAAAAATATGAAATGTGTGAAAGAAAAAAGAAAATCAAACAAGAGAGAATAATATTGTGAATAAAACGAAAAGAAAGGAAGGAAGAAAGAAAAACAAAATGTGTGAAAGAGAAAAAGAAAATCAAACACGTGAATAAGAAAAAGAAAGAAGGAAGAAAGAAAATATGAAAAAGAGAAAAAGAAAATCAAATACGAAGAGAAAAGAATAATATTGATGAATAAGAAAGAAAGAAAGAAAGAAAGAAAAAGAAAAAAAAATCAAATAAAAAAGAAAGATCAAACGCGAAAAAGAGGAGAAAGAAGAAGAAAGAAAAAAGAAAAAGAATAAAATCAAACAAAGAAAGAAAAAAAAAGAAAAGAAAAGAAAGAAAGAAAAATGCGGGAAAGAGAAAAGCAAAATCAAGAGAGAAAGATAAAACTAAGAGGTTCAACGTAAAGAAAATAAATAATGGAGAGAAAAATTTAAAATAAGAAGAACGAAAGAAACGATAGTTTGAAGCGGAAAGAAAGAAAGAAAGAAAGAAAAACAAAGTAAGAAAGAAAGAAAAGAAAAAAGAATGAAAAGAAAAGTTAAACATCAAACGAAGGAGAGAGAAAAAAAGAAAAAAACAAATTAAACAGCGTCAAGCGGATAAAACTCTTCAACGTAGGAATAATATTGGAGAGATTTAATAAGAGGCGGTTTGAAAAGAAAGGAATGAAGAAAGAAAGAATGTTAAACACATGAAGGAGAAAGAAAAAATAAATTAAAATCACGTGAAGAAAGAAAGAAAGAAAGAAAGAAAGAACATGTAACCCGTGAAGGAGAAAGAAACAAAGAGAGAGAGAGAGAGAAAATATCAAATGCGTGAAAAAAGAAAGAAAGAAAGAAACAAGAAAAGATATATGAAAAGCGTAATGGCGGAGAGTGGAAATAGAAAAAAAGAAAGAAATGTAAAAAAGCATGAAACGGACAGAATGCAGAAGGAGAAAAACATAAATTTTACAAGAAACGAAGAGTTTAATGGCAAAAAAGGAAAAGACGAAAAAGGTGGACGAGCAAGAATAAGAGAAATAGATAAATGTAAAGGAGTAAAGAAGCAAAGACTAAGAAGAAGAAGAAGACAAAATGAATAAAAGAATTAATCAGAAGACGATACAAGATCAGGAAGAAATGGGGAAACAAAACAGAAATAAGAGAAAATGAAAAAGGGCGAAAAATTAAAGGCGGGGAAAAAACAAAAAAAAAACTGGATTTATTTTATTGGTCTTATTATATTAATAAACTAGCATGAGATGATGAAACTGTTGGCCATTAAGTTTAAGGTTTCACCGATAATGGAAAAGGTCTCAAAGACTCGTCTCACTGTTAGTGTAAATTGAGATTCGATAAAAGAAGCAGAGGGTCTAATACTCGGCTAGGCAATATTTAGATGAAACTGATTTTGATTTAAGGAGATGTAGTCGATTTCGTCGTCTTGAACTAAAATTCCAGTTCAGAAATTGATGCCACCGATCAATCGCAAGTTCAAACTCGAATATCAGGGGCAGAAAGAAGAGTCGAAATCTCGATTTGCAGGTACTATGTCACAAATCAGAATGCACGTAACCAGTCAGAATAATAAAAATCGCCAACGAACACGGTAGTTCGAGAACACCATTTGCTTTTATCAACGGAGCATTTTTTTTCATTCGTCGACAGCTGGGAGAAGACACAGAATATTAGCATATCCAAAATATTTTTTTATGGCGACCCCTGCAAAATGACTTGTTTCTGATTTGGATATTCCGTCTTCGGCATATGCAAAATACATGTCCCTTTTCTTGGTAAGTAACTTACTTTATCGCCACATTTTCCATCGTAGAATACAAGCGACACGATGTGGCTTGGTTGGACGGGGTAATTCGCCGTTTTCTTCGTTACAGGAGGCATCTTCTTCTAGTTACAACCAACCCACATCTGGTGTGAACATTTTTAGATGTAACGCTATAAAGATCGTTTAGTCTGACTACCGGTCAACACTGCTATTTACTAAATTCATTATAGCATTAAATCTATCAAGAGAATTGTTGCATTTCAATATTTCCCAACACAACTGACATTGTCAAATATATTCCATACACAGCGGACAGAAATTTGTTTCCCAGGAACAACAAAGAATTGCAAACGTTGTTTTAAATAGTAACTTTTTTTTTTACTTTAGTTCATCAAATACATTATGTAGACTCGTCCATTTACCTTAGCACCCCTAGCAACAAGAACATTCTACTCTCTACGCCTACGTACATAAACCTTAACCAATAGAAACATTACTATGCTAATCAGCGATTCTCATTTGCTCACAACACAAAATTCGAAAGCTTCACGTGCGGAAATAAAATTGCGCCAAAACTTATCTGAGCCAACTTGGACATCTAAAAACCTATAAAAGGAAAAATATCAACTGACCAAGTCAGTCAGTCGAACAAGCCTGAACCCGTTTATACGGGTTCAATGGGCATATTTTTGTCCGAGCCCGCGGGTTCGAAGAGCCCACGTTAAAAAGGCCTTGTGCCACATGACGCCCTCGGGGTGACTGAATATCGTCAGTCGAACGAGCACAGAGATATGCTAATATAATCCACGTCGCTTGCAACTGCAATCTTGCCGCGTAAACTAACGTGCAAACTAAATCATCACTGACTCACTCGCACGCTCAAATCGAAGAATACTCTGTGAACACACGAAACTTCTATCCTAACAACTTTACTTATCTAAAGTGAATTGACACTCACTACTATTCTAAGTAAATAACATCATCGAACGAACTCGACATTTTACAGTCAAAGGTAGACTACTCCGTAATGACTCATTTCTAAAACACAATACCTACATTCCAAATATTAATTACAATTTCCTAAAAAAGACTGTAACATTGATACAAAATACATAAAAAAGGACATACAAAAACTACAAATATCACGAGCACAACAACACATTAACAATCATAAAAATACCCTGTATATATTACCGTACTTGTATATAAATGCTTTTATTGGTGTTGAATGTATGCTTTGTCTTGTTTATATTGAAATTGTTTATTTGTTTGTGGATGCAGAAAAGTTCACGCAACCTAACATAAATTTCCTTCTGATTCAACTCAATCCTACACCAAATTCCTTAGTTTATTCTGCACATCCCCAACAAATATAACGCCTGCACAGAAATTAATAGGTTACTGAATGACATTGTTGTGATGAGAAGAAGTGCATATTATGATTATATATGGGATATATATATCGGTTGATTTAAAATTTAAAGAGGTTAAGAATATAGTGGCCATTAAAGTATCCTCTCGAGACTCTGTGCCCCGAAGGAACATTTCTAGCTGTCCGAATGGGACATATTACTAATGGATCACGCAAATAACGGGGATGATTTTCCACCGTGAACATCACTTCTAGCTGTGAAGGCATGAACTGGTGGCTCTAAGGCTTGTAACACGTTTAAACATTTGCCAATGTAATAGCAACAGAGTAGGATTGTTTCCTCTGTTGAATAATGGTTGCAAGGAGGAAAATAATTCAAGGCGGCGTGAACGCTTTTGAACTATTTCGGTGTTGGACAGATAAAGCAGCAATGATTGATTCTTGGTCTGATCAAAATCTTTTAATGATAGAGCATGGCAGATATCTCTTGAAGCGATACAGAAAACCAACAATTGGAACCAGAAGAGAGAAAACATACAGTTTGTCGCTCAGAAGTTTATTTCTGTCATAATGGTCAACAACTTTCTTGTTGATGATAGCTACAAATAGTTTGCTAATGACATAAAGGAAGTTGAAAGGGTGATTTTTGATGGGAGCGAGGGATCGCTTGCATTCATGTACACAGGACATACACTAGAAACCTTGCATAGCGTTATGAATCATTTCGTCTTCGCGCAGCTGATATTGTATTCGGTTTTTAATATGCATTATTAATGTTAACGAGGAAGACCTGTCACCACACACCGAACAAAGTAAGCAATGATTATATGTCAAAAAGGACCTTGGATTATTTCAACACGATTTCAAATAGCAGGAGAAAATTAGGATGAAATGAGAAAGGAATATTCAAAAATAATAAAGATATATTAAATTTCGAATATATATTTCAATCTGATATCATAGATGAATTCAACAAACAGGCCTAAGTGAAATATAAGCGCAGCCATTAACAGGCAACATCTTTGATACACCGAGAACAGTGCACAAAATCTTTGTTGGTTCATATAATGAAATAGTATGGGCATAGATCACAGGAAAAATGTCAGCGTTCCTTTTTGTCATTTTTCCTTTGAAAAGCAAACATTAAATATTTTTTCGCTAAAAGAAAATAAGACTTAATCTTCCAAAACTAACTTGATTGAAACACAATATAGAATCCACTAAACGTTTTCAAGTTCCGGCTGAAATAAGTTTGTGCTCATTTCGCACGAAGTGTATTTGAAAGGCTTGAACCCACGTTTTTTTGAGCAGGTATTATCAGAGATTAATCTCTGCTGCTTATTCTTTGTACCCCACTAAATATGTCACATGTTACTTGGAGAAGAAATTAGCTGTGCTCAGGGATGCGTATTTCCTTGATAAATGCCCTGAAGGACCCCGGATGGTACTTTGACAATCTAAAAGGTTAGGAGAGGATGTGTTTTGATTCCAACAGTAAACATCGTATGGCTTTCTTAATGGAATGATGTAAAATATTAGCAGTATTTAGCCTTCAGCGAGTTCTTAATGTTTTTTGAAGCGGCGAATGCACTGCAAAAATATGAGAATTAAAAGAAAGCCTAGTATTCACGTGATGCACAGCAGAAGAAGAAAGATAAAGTTGTGTGTAGTTCTTCAACGATAATTATATATTTTGGAAAGAATAAATAATTTCGAAAAAGCATAAAGTATTATGGAAAAGGGTAAATACAATGTTTTGCTAGATTACTAATGTAATCTATATGATGATTAAAACATACACATACTTATAGTCAATCCTGGCACAGGGCCGTATAAGTGGATCATTCATTCACAAGTGAAACATGTAGATGGCAAAAAATATTTATCAAGATTCAAGTCTTTGCTAGGTTAATTTTAGTAAACATATTTTTAGAAATAACCAGGTTTTTACGGTTTCTAATATTTTTTAAACTAAACTAGGAGGAGATAGTTTCGACAGTCATCCGGGTCATATTCCTTTATTATCATTGCAACAGGAGTAGAGGTTTATTCCTTGTTTCCTGTTTAGCATTGGTTTACGCTTTTTTCTAAAGTATTCTCATTCTCTTTAATTCCCAGTATCTCCCTCTGTCTTAATGGCATTAATGCTTTGCTTGGGGTGAATTGACGAAAAAAAAAATAAATGACGCAACCAGTTTGAAAATATTATTCATTTTTATAACTGTCATTATTCCCTTATGATAATTTCTCATTCGCAACTTATTTTGCCAAGGAATATATTAAGTTCTTTTTTTTAATCATATTCGCCCCAAGCAAGGCAATAAAGTCACTAAGAAATAAGGGTTAACTGAGAGTGAAAGAAAGTGAGAAAATGCTTAGGGCATGGCGGATACTAAAACACCAGTTTTCAAGGAGGCAGATGAAAACATTGAGGTTGTATTTAAATTTTTGGAGATTATAATTGACAGAAAAAAAGAAACCAGAAGTAATTTCGTCACAGGAAAAATGCGAAAGAAGACACTATTAGCAAAGCTTACGTTTACCTCTAGCCATTTAAAGAGAATGTACTTTATCATAAAAAATAAACATAAATTTTGACATTCTAATATTTATTTTCCTTTTCTTTGTAGATTAATAATATCAGAGTGGATAATTTTTTATCGCTTTTACACTTTTAAAATGAGTTTAGATCTGACCGATATCAGACAATTTATGCTGTATGATTTCAAAAACGGTCTACAGCAGCAGAAGTGACAACAATGCTTCCTTCCATCTATGGAAATTAAGTTTTGGCATGTCCCAAAATACAATCATTTGTTTGCTTAGTTTCGTTCTGGATATTTTTCTCGTAAAGGTTCTTCAATCTGACAAACGAAGATCTGTCAATAGTGAACTTCAGCTGCGAAACTCCTAAACAA